TTAAATATAGAATACTATAGCATTAATACAAAATATAAGAGGTATTATAAACTTTAATAGAAATTTGTGTGAGAAAATAGGAAGATCTTAAAAAGCAGAGGGCAAATCCTTAAATGAATAAGCACTACATACCAATGTTGTAGGGTTTGGGCTTTTGTTGTTTGATATTATTGGTGTTATTCCAACAATAAGAACTTCACAAGACTTGTCAGAAGATCTGCATGTAAAATCATTGCCTTAATCCTGGAAACATCGGCAATAAACACTCTACAGAGAACATCAGTGGAGTCTACAGGGAGGAGCTTGGGCAGGAGAAGGGCCACCCTTGATCAGTGCTGGGGATTCTAGGAGCCAAGACTTTTTACTTTACAAATCAGCCACTTGTTACACTAGTTAACACTAAATGTTTGCATCTTTGCATTTTGAATGTGACAAACTCTTTTTAGAAATGTGTCATGTGTGAAAAGAAACCTGATTATTTCAGAGAACAGGTCTAGCTGGATGTGTGTCTGTCTCTGAAAAGATAAATGAATTTAAGATTTCAAGGGGAAGACTAAGTACCCCCTTATTCCCCCTGCAAGCACCTATGAGTATGTATATTCCTGGGTTTTCCTCCAGTAAGTTCTAAATGTGATACCCTTCTCCTCACTTTGTTTTCACACCAAGCTGAGAAGTACATGAGGCCAGAAGAGATCCAAGCTCTCCTCCTCCACGGGCAAGAAATAAAGCACAATGTGCCCCATATTGTGTATGTTATGTCCCATCAACTTGAAACTGACTTACATCAATACTATTAGGGCCTCAAGGTAAATAAGATACACTATTTTGGAAGAAATTTATCACCAGAGATAGATGGAATACTGATAGACTGTTTCAAGCCATGGTAACTGAATCTGCCAAAATTCTAACAAGAATGTGACAACAAATATGGAAAACAAAACAATGGTCCACAGACTAGATACTCAATATTCACTCCAATCCCTAAAAAAGGAGATTATAATGATAGGATCATTGCCTTAATTTCCCATGCGAGCAAAGTGATGCTCAAGGTATTGCAACAAAGGCTTTTACCTATATGGAGCAGAAAGCAGTAATGACCTGAAATGAATTTTAGTGAAAGGGAAATAAAGTGCCAAAGCAGGACTGCAGATGAACATTGAGACCAAAATCATGACTACAGAAGAACTATACAACTTTAGTGTTGCTAATGAAGAAATTGAAATAGTTAAGAGATTTGTTTATACCTTGGTTCAATCATCTATTTAAATGAAGACTGCAGCCAAGAAATCAGAAGATTGAGTCTAGGAAGAGCAGCAATGAAAGAACTGAAGTGTAAGAATGTGTTATAGGAGACCGAGACAATCCATCGCCATGTTTGGGCATGAAAACTGGACAATTAAGAAAACTGACAGGAAAAAATGATTCATTTGAAACGTGGTGATTGAGGAGAGCGTTACGGATACCCTCGATTGTCAGAAAGGCAAACAAGTGGGTCCTAGATCAAATCTAGGCTTAACTATATCTGGAGGCAAAAAGGTTTATTTATTTATTTATTTATTTAACTTATATGCTACCCACTCTACCCAAAGGTCTCTGGATGGCTTACAACAGTTAAAATACAATTAAAATAGATACTCTAAAAATTGCCATCAGGACTCAACATTGATATTATTTCAGTTAAAACCCTTCTGGAACAGGAAGGTATTGACCTGGCGCCAAAATGTCACCAGTGTCGGTGCCAGACAAATCTCAGTCAGGAGGGCATTCCATAGTTTGGGGGCAGCTGGCGAAAAGGCCCTTTGTCTACAAGCCATCCCTCTTACCTCGAGGGATGGCTCTTTCAAAAGCCCTCCGCCCCAGCTAGATCTTAGTAGGAATGTGTGAAGGCAAGAGAAGGGGACGATAGAGAATGAGATGTTTGGACAGTGTCATTGAAGCTACCAACATGAATTTGACCCAACTCCGGGAGGCAGTGGAAGACAGGAGGGCCTGGCGTGCTCTGGTCCATGGGGTCATAAAGAGTTGCACTCGACTAAACAACACCAGGCTCATATGGAAGGAGGCGGTCCTTCAGGTATCCAGGGCCCAAGCCGTTTAGGGCTTTATATGTCAAAACAAGCACTCTGAATTGGGCCCGGGCAGCAACTGGTAACCAATGTAATTTAATCAGAATCGGCTTGATATGTTGCCTAGCGGCCCCACTACTCACCAGCCGTGTAGGTAGATTCTGGACCAATTGCAGTTGCTGGACCATCTTCAAAGGCAGCCCCACGTAGAGCGCATTGCAATAATCTATACGAGATGTTACCAGTACGTGTGTAACTGTCATGAGACTCTGCTCGTCCAGGTAGGACCTTAGCTGGTACAATTTCTGCAGTTGACCAATGGCGCTCCTGGCCACCAAGTCCACCTGGGCTTCCAGAGTTAGAATGGGGTCCAGGAGCACCCCCAGGCTGCGGACACTGTCCCTTAGGGGAAGTGTGACCCCATTCAGGGCAGGAAAATGGCTCTCCAACTTGTCCGGTAAAGCACCCACAAACAGCACTTCCGTCTTGTCTGGACTGAGTTTCGATTTATTAACCCTCATCCAGTCCATTATCAGGTCCAGACACGAGTTCAGCACAGAAACCGCCTCACTTGGATTGAGGCTGAGGCTATTCTATCATGAAATGGCAGAGTTCTCTGGAAGAGAAAATAATACTGGGAAAGGTGGAAGTCAGCAAAAAAAGAGGAAGACCAAATATGAGGTGGAATGATTCCCTAAAGGAAGCCACAGGTTTGAGATACGAAAAGCTGAGCAGGACAGCTGAGGACACATTCTGGAGATTACTCATTCATAGGATTGCTATAAATCAGAGGCAATGTGATAGCACATAATAAGATCTTTTAAGGAATAGTTTTACCACTTCCCACCCCAGTGCATTTCAATGGCTAAATGGGGATTCAAACTGAGAACGCCTCAGTCCATCATCCTACACATATCCACTATACCATACTGGTTATCCTTCTCTCCCCATCACGTCAGTGGCACTCCATCCCTATTAATACAGACAAAAAGCCAGTAAAGCTTGTACAGTACACCAATTAAATGTTTTAATTCTTCACTTGTCAGGGCATCAGCAGAAGCCAGACGAGAGCAGCACTCTGGAAAACTGGGGGAAGTTGTGGTAGTATTTTCCACCACCACCCCAGCCAGGGGGAGGGAAGAAACTGCACCACAAAAGGATGCATGCCAGGCAGATGGGGAGAGAAGGCCAAAATGGCTCCCATTACTTCCAGGTAAAGGTAGCAGCATCCCTCATTGATCTAAGATGGAAGAAGCTGTGCCCTAGCTATGAAAAGCTGAAGGCACATGGTTGTAGCACTGTATATCACTGGAACATCACGGGAGAGGTGGCGGTGGCAATGACTTCCTACGATCATGATTGCATCATGCATGTGCACACACGCTCAGCACATTCTCAATATAAATGGGAAGGGAGCTTCAGCAGCTTTATACAAAGCCAAAAATTGGTCATTCTTGCATTCTGTATAGCTCTCCAGAGTAGGGAGGGCGGATTTATCACTCCAGATACCAACTGAGGCAGGCAGCTGTCTCATATTACTCCATGGTAGGGCTAGATCTACCAGGATAACATGGTGATTACCCCAGGATGACCCAATGTATTTCATAGCTCACTGGGGACTGAAACATAGATCTTCAGAGTCCAAGTTTCACCTACGGAGACTAACTAAAATGATAAGTGAACATTGTAAATGAAGATGCATCATAGCAGCAAGCAAACAAAACAGTAGGCCAACACTTTTCTTCATTCTGATTGGTCAGAGATATGCAGGAGCAGCCTTACTGTTTGGCCACTACATCAGAAACCACTGCTCAATGGAAAGCCTGTTTCTGCCCACCTCTGACCAACCAGGATGTGAAAGAAGTGGGATAGGGGGAAAATAAAATGGGAAGATGGCTGCCTTTGTGTTAAGAGGCAGCCATAGCGACAGACTAGCACGTGAGCTATGTGCTTATCCCAGCTCTACCATACTGACTCTGAATTTTATTATTTCATTTTGTTTTATTTATACCTTGCCTATTCCCAACAGAGGGACCCAAAGTGAATTTTTAGAGGAGGGGGAAAACAAAATTAAGCAGGGTTGATACCACTGTTAGTTCTCAGTAATTAAAAGCATACCAGAAGGTTGCACTTGTTTACCATGCAACGCAGCATCACAATAAAACATAGCAAAGAAATGCCTTTTAAAAAGGACCAACCAAATATGCGACGGCTATGTTTCCAGCTTTTTCTCAGTTCCACCGGTCAACAGCGAGCAGCTCTTATGTGGTATCTCATCGGGTAACCGTTTCAAAAAAGCACGGGCGATGTAGGCAATCTTCTGCGTCTTACTCATGAGTAGTCACCTCAGGCCTCACGTGGCCTCCCTGCCACCTAAGGACAAATTCGGTCTGACTGTGTGTACACGCTATCTAGGAATAAACTGACTTAAATTCAGCGGGATTTGATCCTCCACAAACGTGAGTTTTGGCCGAATGCGGCTGCTCACGTTCTGTGGGATTTTAGACCCACAATAAAGCACTCAAAAGGGAAGAAGCCGTCTCTGCCTCGGTGAAAGAGCAGCGGACCGACCGACCCCCCACCCCCCGGGGGGCTGTCGAGGTCGGCCTGGCGTTGGGCAGGGAGGGGGTCGGTCGGTCGCTGCCTCTCCCACAACACCCCAGCCCCGCCGCCGGGAGCTCAGTGAGGAGAGGGCCAGGGCCCCACGGCGCAGCCCTTTGTGTCTCCCCCGCACCGGCGTCCCAGGGATGCCTCCTCGTCCGCGCGAAAGCTGCCCAGGGACCTTCCGCCGCTTCAGGAGGCCCGCCTCCCGTCTGCGAAAAGAGTCCGAACGCGACCCGCGACTGCTAAACTCGCCTCCTCTCCACTTCCGGTTAGAAAGAAAGAAGAAGAAAAAAGAGAATGGGGGGGAGGTGAATAAAAGGGGGGAGCGAGAGGGGGGGAGAAAGGGAAACGATGCTATTAATAGCCTCGCTCCCTGATTGGCTTAGCGAAGCAAAATAAAAAAAGCGGTTTGCACCACGTGATTTTCCATCTGAAAACTCCAAGATGGCGGGTCCCGTCACGGGCTGATTCCGTTGGCGGCGCGCGCACCGCTGTGCTAGCGCCGAGGGCCCATCTTCCCCCCCCTCACTGCTTCCCACCCAACAACGGCGGCTTTCGTGACGGTCACTCGTTCTCCAGCACAGCGTTACCCTTCTGTATCCACATACTGTACAGGTCAGTGGCTGGAGCGGCGGCTTCTCGGCACATCTCGCTGGAAGACCAGTTATTCTGCAGTCGTTATCTGCACTTTTCCTTTAACTGAGAGTCGGTAGAGAAGGGAGAGGGTATTTTTGTCCGCCGGCTTCTAGGGTGGCTTGATGGGGACCCTTAAAGGGATCGGCTACTTTAGCGTTTGCCCTTCTGTCTGTAAAAAAATGTGTGTTTTCCTCATTTGCTTGGGGTGATTCGAGCCACGCGGGGGGCCGAATAGAATGTCCTGCGCTGGGGAAGGGGGGGGGAAGATGAGTGGCGCCTCGCAGCACCAATCAGGGGCCCGTGTGTCGTCTTGGCGGGTGCTGTTGAGCCCCCGTCTCGCAGGCCCGGACGGTGGGCGAAGAGCCCGTTCCCGAGGCGGGGGAGGGGCCGGGCGTTTTAGCGGCCCGTTGCTTGTTAAAGGGTGGAGGAGGGCGGGCCTTGGGTCCTTGATCGACACCTGCTCCGGCCTTGCCCCCCCCTTTCCCCATCCCTTGGTCGTGAGGGGAAAGGAGCCGCCCTTTCGGCGGCCGAGGGCCGTCTCTGATCTCTCTCGAGTGCTCCGCTCATCGATTGAGTCTTAGATTTTTGTGAATGAGGCGGGAGTGGGTGCGGGAGCCGCGCCCGTCTCGCGTCCCGTGCAAACTCCTCCCTCTCTCCCTCCCTCCCCCCTCCGCCGCTAGGCCGAGGGAGCGCCGCGTTGGAGGGGTGAGTATAACGGGCAGAGGGAGGGAAGAGATGCCGCGAGGCGTGGAGACGCCCCTCGGGGCGAGACTGGGCGGTGGCCCGCCCGGCGGGGGAACGGGAGACCGAGGGGAGGGCCGGGCCGTGAGGGCAACCGCTCTCCTCCTCCTCCCCTCCCCCGGCGCTGGCAGGGATGGAGGGGAGACGGAGGAGCGAATGGCACCGAGCTCTTCTGCCTCATTTTAAGTAAAGGGGAGGGGGGTAATTGGCGTGGAAGCCCCTCACCGCCCCCCTTCATGACTCGCATCCTGATGGAGGTTAGAGGGCGGTGAGCGGGTCACCGCTGCGCCTTATTTCTCAGGGAGACGGGTGACCCGCGATCCTGCCTAGCGCCTTGCAGCCAAACAAAACAAAAACAAACCAAACCACAATTGAAAAATCTCCGCTGATAATAAGGAGAGGCTTGTTGGCACTTTGGAAAAGCTCCACGACTTTGGGGAACATTGCAAGCTTTCACTGGGCTGGAGCCTTCTCTGGGCAGATGCCTGAGGATGTTAAATGCATGTGCAAGTGTGAGCCACATGTGGGGTGTTAGGAGGTGTGTGTTGGACTTGGAATAAATAGAATGGTTCACTCTTGGTTTGGATGCAGGACTTGTGCCTGGCCGGGGTTTCTCAGCTGAGTCTACCCATTAGGGTTATTGTGAGAAGGAGGTGGGGGAGGTGCCTGAGTTTGTGGGAGAAGGAAAGCATGAATGCACAGCTTTCACCTTGCATATTAGTTTCTGAAGCCCTTTTCCTTCCTTATATAATGTTTGGCCTTCTGGATGTACTGTTTACTTTTTTCTCTATACTTTTCTGTGTGCATTGATTAAGGTATGCATTTATTAATTGAAGGTACTCATTTATCTGAGCTAGTACTGTATGACAGCTTAGTCAGAGGTATCTTAATATTACCTTTAGTTTAACATGTCTCACATGTGAGTCTGTCTTACTGATGATGCAATATTTTTCCATCTTTTGTTTCCTCATACCATGTAGTTTGAATGTGCCTTGGGGATGGAGCATATGCTTTACATGTGCAAGGTCCCAAAATCAGTTGCCGGTTCATGGGCAACAGGGGTGGAAACAGCACCTACCAGAGGTTTCCCACTAGCTGGATTTGACAGTACAATGGGCAAATATTAGTCTAATTTGCCCAAAAGGTTTCTTATGTATTTGTATACTCGTTTCCCCCTTGAATTCACATGGAGTTTTTTTCTGTTTACATATCGCGTGACATGTTACCATTATATCTGTGTGGAGTCTGTGGTGGCACAACTGTGCAAATAAGTCTGTATGTTTAGAGTTGTACACTTACACACATCACTACTCTTCTAGATTGTAAGCAGCTTGAAAGCTAGAATTTCTGCCTGGGGGGTGCTGCAAGATTCCTGTCATAGTTATTTGGACGAAAGAATTGGTTTGTTGTTGCTAGTCTTTAAAAAGTGAAGGATCCATTTGCTTTCCACTATGCCCACTTTGCTGTGTGTCTTAATTTTATTAGTGGCTAACACTATTCTGCATTACTCTGATGACAGTGTGTTTTAAAACTGCGTTATAGTGAATTAATCAGTTTAAATTTTGCCAGAAAATCTGTCTTCAATTCTTGTTGTGTAATTTCTTTCTATTGTATTGTATTCTTGGCTTATCATTTGTTACCACTCCTTAACACAGTGTACTGCTTCATGCTGCTGCTGTTGTTGTTAAAAAAGGACTATGCAAATAAAACATGAGTTGGAAGAGCAACAGCCTTGGATCCCATAACTGGGAGAAAAGTGGCATAAACTGCAGTTAAATAAATAAACTGATACATATATCTGCAAAGCTGTGTTTAGAACAAGTGGAATAGAGAAGAGAGGGAGTAGACGTGTGTGAATATTCTTGTGAACATTCTGTTGAAAAATTTGCCCATCCTCAAATTGCGGCTTGAAGCAATTTGAAGATGGCCTCCTGTAGGAGGTATAATTTGTGATTTCTTATTGTGAATCTGGCTTCAATCGGAACACTACAAAAACTACCATAGTATAATTCAATTAGGTGTTGACGTAGCAGAACCTTATAACATGAACAGATTTTATTAGTCATGAAAAGTGGTGCCCAGAAATACAAAACAAATGCAAGGGACACTGCCAGTGTCTGAATTACTGCAGATAGAACAAATTATAAATGTTGCATTTTCTTTCTTCTTTTTAAATAGTAGAGTTGTAAAAACACACCTTTTGCATATTAGTATTATATGTTTGGTATGTAGAAGTGCAACAGTAGACTTATAGTTTGTTGTGTTAAGCACTTTGTTGTGCTGGTAACTTGGAATATTTCCAAATCCTAAATGTATACCTTCTTGATATATGTGTCCCTTATTTTTAAAGTTTGTTGCTGGAGTATACATTAATTGGGTTGTATGACAAGCATGTTTTCATACCTGGTCCTTGTTCCAGATTTAACCGTTATTTTGGATGGTGGTATTTTATAGACTTTGTTCACTGGAGATTCTTGGGTGTTTGGGTGAACAAAATGCAAGTAGGCTCTTCTGTGTTACATGATGCATGGAGGAGTTTCCAGCCTTCATTCTTTCTCTTATGACTGAAAAGAGCAACTATTTGAACCAACAACTTGCTGTTTCAAGCAAGCATAGTTTGAGTCAGGTTTTTGTGGTTCTCCCTGAGCCTTAAACTTCTAAGGGAGAAATCTCTCTTCCATGTGGTCTCTTTTTTGTGTTGTGTACTGTGTGCCATAACAGTTTGTACCCCATATTTTATATTGCCTTGGGTTGGTCTACTGCTGATCTAGTTGAGAGGCTGCATTCACTCTCCTCAAGTCAAATCTGACATGATGACTTTTCAGGGTTTTCTGGGTAGAGAGAAATAGTTTACCATTTCCTTCTTCTGGGGGCACCCTGGGACTGTACAGCTTGCTCAAGGCCACACAGGCTGGCTGTACTTCAGGGGTGGGCAATTAATTTCTATAGGGGGGCCACATGAAAAATCTGAACTGTGTTCATGGGCTGAAACAACTTTACTAAAAAAATAAAATGAAACGGTAATGTTATGATTGTTTTTATTTTAAACTTGTTAATCTTAACAAATACTAAAGAGGTTTTTTGCGGTATGTTAAAGATAAGCAACTGATCAACTTTAGACAAAAGCTATAAATGGTTTTGATGTTCAACTTGATCAGTGAGAGAAATCCAGTCTGTCTTGGGCTTGAACAAGTGCTTGAACACCAGACTGGAGCGACGACTGGGGGGGCCGGACAAGAGCGGCTCGTGGACCATATGTGACCCTTGAGCTGCGCTTTGCCCAGGTCTGCTGTACTTGTAGGAGGCACAGTGGGAAATCGAACTCCCAACCTCTGGCTCTGTACTGATCTGTCCAGCAGTCAGCCATTTCTGGTTGTTGGCAAACCTTAATTACATTGATTTTCCAAGTCATCTAGTATATGTTGCCAATATTCCTGTTCTACAAATGTAGGATCACTACATACAGTATTTAAACTATAGTAATGGATAACCTTTTTCTCTTGGATGTTAACAAATAATGCTACTTTATTTTCTAGTTTCTTAAAATGTGTAAGTGAATGAAATCTGTGTAATTTGTGCTTTTCATTGTTATGATTGTAAACATGGCTTATCATAGAAGGCATGATTTCTGAAACATGCATCTGATTCCTTATTTCTAAAGGGTTGTTTACAAATCTTAAATTTGGGAATACTATAAGAATGCTTGATAATGGTCTCCATTTGCATCCACCTTCCATACTAGCATATGCATTTAAAGGGTTTTTTTTGTGATGAATCCGCTTAGAAAAGGAGATGAGAAAATAGTATATAAGTACATGTGGCTACTCCTTGCTACCTCATAGAATGCATGCTATGTGTGGGTGCACATGTGACTTGCACTGTCTGCTTACATGAACTGTGTTTTCAGATTTGGGATTCTGCAAGCCTTTTCTCCTTGTCAAATTGCTGCGTAAAGGTGAACAAGGGAACCCTCAGTGATAAAATACTGGTGTCCAGGTTCACTAATTTTGTGAAACATAAGCTATTTTATAGAAAACGTGACTATCAAGACTGTGGCACTGTTTTTTATTAAGTCTTGTTTAGTGCATTTTATCCTGTCTTTCCTCAAGTGAGCTTGCCACAAAATGTATGGCACTTGCTCACTCCCTGTTTTGTTTCAAACTCTTGTGAAGAGAGGCTGAGAAATAGTCACTGGCCCATAGTCATATGTGAGCTCCATGGCTGAGAAGAGATAGGAA